TTCAGTGCATCTTTTTCCCATGTCATTTCAGCACCATAATATTAAAAATGTTCTACCATTTCTATGATATCTTCAATGTATACATACTATAATCTGACAAAATTGAAGGCAAGATTAGCAATTATAGCTGAAGTATACTTGCAGCGAACCTTTTCAAGATTTGGTCTGAGTGGAATCTGCGATTACCTATCAGAGTTGCCAACTGCTGATGAGAAAGAATTTTTAACATGATAGCGCAAGACACAGGTATTTCCACTTCACTTCCATCTCATTCTTTCCGAGTGCAAGCATTTTCTCCCTTTCAATAATACCTTTGTATTCATTTTCCCGAAGATACCGTCATATGTTTATCCATCCATTTGTTCATTTTCTCTCTGTATCTGCAGGTGCTGTTAAAAGAAGTGCATTTTATAGACAACTCACACTTTCTCATGCATCAGTCATTCTCATTTACTGTTCAACCCAATGGATTCACCTGTGTGAATAGTTATTTGTGCAGTCAGTCTTGCAGGTACGTTGGTTGAAGAATGGCAGTGCCGATTCTGCTTCTGTAAACCTTGTAAGCTTCCAAGTGACCAAATGACGTTATAGCAGTCAGGCAATGAGTGAGGGTGACTGAAATGATATCTGCACATTATCTTAACAAATATGTTCCTAAACTGCTGTCTGGTGAAGTAATATACCCATAGATGGAGCGCAATTATGAGAGAGACTCTGAAGATGGACGGAACAATTTCACCTTTCTCGCATTCAAGTATTCTCCCCCAGGCTGCAACCTCCCTGTGGAAAGGCTAATTTTTGATCTCAGAATCTGGCCGAGGTGGTGGTTGTGAGCGAAGGAAGAAGTTAAAGCACCCTGGATGTATTTTCAGGGGAAAATTCTTGGATGGGAAAGAGTGATGCATCCCTGCCCCTTCCACTAATTTTTTTCTGCAAATGAAATGCAACTGCAAAACCATTCCCTGAATCTCCATGTTCCTCATCCAAATTGTGTTCTTACTCCTTCCATACTCAAGGTACTAAGGCAATCACACATGACCAGCATGGAATTTAGTTTGGCCCAAAGTCTTAGGAATGGCGTTTCAACCATTTCAAGATGGGGGGAAATATTTTCGCAGTTGTAAAAAAACAGGGTGAAGGTGTTTGGGAAGCACAGGTTTGGCCCCCGGCCTTTCAATTCATGCTGGCTTAGAGTCTCATCCACCATTTTGTGCTACTCTCTGCAGTTCCTCTTTGCACCAGAAGGCAAAGATCTTGGAGGGTACAGGGAGTAAGGGACAATGCAGATACATTTCTGCTGCTTGCCAGAATTGCAGTATGTGGCACTGTGGGCTCACTTTTCACTGTAGTAGCTGATTTTCACATACCTCTTAAATCTGTAAATCATTCTTTTAGAAAAAGTAAGATGAAGTACCTTTCACAGGGTGGTCTCCAATATGGTCATATTGCAATTTTGTGGCATGGCTATATCGTTTTCCTTGAGCAAAAGGAAACTGAGGTGGGGAAGCAGTCTTATTCTCAGGGCCTAAGGGATCGATGAGGTCAACTTCAGCACAGCGTATCAGTAAAGAAATGTCTGTTGTAGGGTTTAGTAAGGCACTAAAGGAGTGGGTGGGAAGTGCGACATCGGATCGTGTTCTTTTGCAATACAACTTGACCATCCCCTAAATTATACTAGCTTTCTCTACATTTGATAAAATGCATCCATGTCGAGATTGCTCTAATATCCCAGAATCTATCCTTATGTCAGCTGATATTATATAACCTTAAAAAACCTAAACAGTATTGTGTGTCATAAGCATTTTCCCAGAAATTAATAACTCAGGAAGAAAATCAGAATATTTTCTATCACCATTGTATCTCTCAGACAAGTCTAAACCAGAACAGAACAGTTAATGAAATGAATTCACTGCAGCTTTTGATGTGGTTTCTAAATGACAGGGCTTTTTGATCCTGAAGATTTTACATTCTAACATATTTTTGAGTGTCTAATTGTGCCAAATTCATGCTAAAGCTGTCCTATTCAAGTGCATTTAAATATAGTGGCAAACAGCTGAAATATTGATCACTCCGGTTATTACCCTAATTTATGCTTTGGTGACTAGAATAAAATTAAATGATTCCTCAGTAATTGCCAACAATGAAGACGAATGTATTCACATCTGTGAGCACTCAATAGCTTATGTTTTCTTATCCCGTCTAATAAATCTTGTCAACTTACCAAATGGCCCAGTCTTTCATTCCCACTGTAGTCCACTTCTTAGTGCTGTAAGGCACCAAGTTTTAAAGTCCACACTTACAGTCACTGACATATTTATAACTATATAGAAATATATATATAGAGAGAGACTTTGACCCAGATGTTGTGATGCTTAGAGTAGAACTACTGAAATCATTGGGCAAATATTACTCATGACTAACTTTCATTCCATTTTTTCAATGGATCTAGTCTACTCATTACTAAGTTTGGATCCAAGCCAGCTGAGTCCCATTGAATCAATGGAACCAGCAACACATGGCTACCCGAAAAGCAATGCTTTCAATGGGAGTTAGCTTCCACCACTGGGAGTGGCTTTGCTTTTAAAAGGCTTTGCTTTTAAAATGGAAAACTAAGCAAGCACATTCACTTCATTTATTTTGAATGAAAAGGAATTTGAATGAGAAATCAAAAATGCATTCACATTTCATTTGTCTCTTTGTTTGTTCATTTATCCTCTTCTGAAAAATCCCAGATTCATTCACACCATAGTTAAGGAAGAAAAGAGAGAGCAAGATAGAGAGCACCATGGAAGTAACGATAAAACAGGGTTTATAAAATTGGGAGTTTGTTTTATTTCTCAGAAATGTGGGTTTTTTTTATTTTCTTGAGATATAGATCAATACCTGTAAATTTTGTGCCAATAAGATATAAAGCACAGGTGCTCCATCAAAGGAGTGTGTGTGGGAAAAAGGAAGCTCTGTTTCCTTTTGAAAGCAAAGGGCAGCTCATAGGATGGGTACCTTTATTGCCTCTAAAAAGAGGGGCGTGTTGTCCCAATGAAGCTGAAATGTTGCAGTTCCGCTACAGGTTGATAGTCTGTCAGTAAAACGTAGATAGTCCTGTCCAGGTTAGAGACACCAGAAGAGCTGCTACTTCTCCCATGGACAATAATGGGGAGTTTAGAGAACATGTTCCTTCCTAATGACGTATAAAACTGGTTGCCCATTCTGCCTTCAGTTTTGTAGGTCTGATGCCCTGGTGGACATTAGCAGAAAGCCTGTGCACTGCACGCTATTTGGATGGATAACATCAAAGTTGCAGGAAGTAGAATAGAAGTAGCCTGGGTCTTCTGTTAAAACACACACAGAGATTGGAAAATGAAATTTAAACAAATAAAAACTCAAATGAAATGAAACCAGTTAAATCATTTCCCCTATGAATGAGATATAAAATTAATGAAATTTAAAGATGGAAAAATACCACACCAAAAACAAATGGGAAAAAAAAGAAAGTTGGCTTTGCTTAGCACTGTTGAAGATTGGGGAAGCTTCCATAGGAATAGCCCCCTTTCGACATAGGATCTACACATGAGTAAACTTGCACGGGTTGTGATGCTAACTTTAGCAGATTTGGAGCCGTGCTTATGTGTAATGAAAATGGAATTTGAAGTGGTGAAATACTTGATTTTTTATAGATCTGTCTGTTTCAGGTAACAATGGATATTCAGGGAATATAACCATCTGTTTGGACCGACACACAAATGCAACAGTAATTGTAACCTGTTTCTGATTAAAATGACTGTCTTTATACTCCCTTTAGTCCAATGAGTAATGGTCTCCAGGTGCAAATCTAAACTGGTACCATATCTATGCAACTTATTTGTTCTCTATTTATTTATTTAGGATATTTTTATCCCATCCTATACCAATTGTCTCTGGACAGCTTACAATGTGATAAATAAACAATCAATACAACAATCAATAACAAGATAAAATATGGCTGAGGATGTTAATAAAACCTGATTAAAATATTTAAACTTTGAAATATTGGGTAAATAAAAAGGTTTTAAACTGGCACCGAAAAGCATATAAAGTCTCTCTGAGGAGGGCATTCCACAGCTGGGCTGCCACCGTAGAGAAGGCCTGCCTTCTGGTGTTCACCATCCTCACCTCCTTCAAGGAGGGTTCCCAGAACAGGGCTTCTGCTCCAGATCTTAGTGGGTGGGAGGCATATAGGGAAAAAGATGTTCCTGCGGGTATCCTGGTCCCAAGCCGTTTAGGGCTTCATAGGTCAATACCAGCACCTTAAATTGGGCCCAGACTTCAATGGGGCACCAGTGTAGCTGGTAGAAGACTAGCGTCCTCTAAATTTGGATTTGCAATGAGTCAGCTTCATTGGCTGACTTTTTATAAAATGTATAATCATATCTGATGCTTTGATATCATGTTTCACCAAGTCCGCCTTCCCGTGCCCACCAGAACAAGAAATTAATGACAGTTAAGCAGATCTATCAAATAGATGCCTTTTGAATCCATTTCATTTCAACTTCAGAAATGTGAATATTAAAGGTATTACAGGTCCAAGTCATTCCCTGGTTTCCCTTCATCAGTAAAACTAAAATGAGAATACCAATCTCAGAGGGGAACATCTCTCCAAACTTCAAATGTTTAATTTGTTTCACAGTACAATACAATATACCATTGGGTAATATCGTATGCCAGAGTCTTCTGAACGACAGTGGGCCAGCTGTGCAGTGGCACTCTTTTGAAGGACTGATGTCTAATAAAGGGAAGATTAATTGAGGAATTCAAAGTAGTATTACATTTCCTTCTAAAACTTTGCAAAAGGAAGGGATAATGAGTGCTCACTAATTGTGAAGTTTATATTTAGACTGCTGTCAAAAGGGTTGAAATTTCCCCTCTTTGTTTTCTTTATTAAAATCACAGTTGGCTCAATGCATTTAAGATATGCCCATGTATGAGTGGAAACATTTAAATGTGTATCTTAATCTCTCCTATAGGTTGTTTAGAACTTAAGGAAGATACAATCGAAAACCTCCTGGCGGCCGCTTGTCTTCTTCAGCTTCCTCAAGTCGTTGAAGTGTGTTGTCATTTTCTCATGAAACTTTTGCATCCATCTAACTGTTTGGGAATCCGGGCATTTGCGGACGCTCAAGGATGCACAGAGCTTATGAACGTGGCTCACAACTACACCATGGTAAGGCAGCTCTAATATATTTTATCATAGCATCATAGGATGAAAGGGTGCATAGATTTTGCTGGTAGGCAAATGGTTTCCTATGGTTTTGTTTTTCTTCCTGTTATAATATCCTGAAGATTATTTTATGGAAGTGAATACAGTATCTCCTAAGTTGAACGAATGCACCTTGCAGACATTTTTTGATTGCAATGTCACATCCTATGTATTAGTTTATTATTTCACTTCTTGGTTAAGTGTTCTGGCTTGGGGGATTCTAACTTGGTTTAGTTTATCCCCGTAACTATGCTCTGTCCTTTTTTAAATTACTAAAAAATATAGTATGATAGTTCTTTGGGGAAAGCTATCCAGATACAGATTAGAAACCCACTGGGTTTTATCTTGATATCCGCATTCAGTGTTTTAACTGGGAGCACTTTCATCTAATGAACCCCTCACTTGATGAACCTGCCCATCCTTTCAGATCAGTCCAGGAGGCCCTTCTGCAAGCGCCATCCTCCAAAGAGGTGAGAAGGATGCCGAATAGATGGAGAGGCTTCTCAGTGGCTGCTCCCTGCCTCTGGAATAGTCTCCCCTGGGAAGCCCACCTGGCACCATCTCTAGTACTGTTTCAGTGCGGGACAAAATTGTTTCTTAGTATCTTTTTTTAGAAATCAATCCCTTCGTCCTTCTCACTTTGTTGTGATTTAGTTAGGTTTTAAATTGTGATAATGAAGTTCTATTCTCTCTTTATTGTTATATTTATTTTTATCTTTTATTGTAAGCCGCCTTGAGTCTTCAGTAGTAGGCAGCATATAAATGGAAGTATAAATAAATAAGGAACTCTTTCAATTGATATAATGGAGTCTTAGTGTTTCAGGTGTCACAGTAAGTCAAGAGGTGTTCCAGAGTTCATAAGGACATCTAATAATACCTTATACAATAGTTTTAGTTTGCATTCACCTCAATGAAATAAAAGAAATAGATATAGAAGTTGAGAAGAAGTAGGACTTTTCAACACGCCAAACTAGCTGCTTGCATCGCGCTGGTAATGTCCATATTCTAAATGCATTAATTCAGAGAGCTGCTCAGAAAGCTTCTCAGCATTCCTCCCCTTCTCTTTTTCTGTCTTCACAAAATGATACATGAGTGTATCCTTTGTCAGAGCCTCCAGTATCGTGCAATGAGCTGTCCTCAGAAGGACAGGTTTTCGGAGGGCTTTGGTGAGCGCACTGGAAGCCAGACTAAGCATTAATGCCTGTTGGATAAGGTGCACCTGAGGCCTGCCTTTTGTTTTACTCTAGTGTAAATCCCATAGCCCTGATTCATAATGGGACTACAGCATTCTGGGAAGGGGGCATTAAACCTTCTGCTCCAGCAGGTCCTTCCTAAAATCACCCCCTGCCCCCACCGCCATCCCCATGTGGAGCAGTCAACAACATCATCATCAACAACAGTCATTTTCATCATTTAATTTCAGTTGTGAGTGGGGAATTAAGTACCTCAGTACATGAATTACCTCAGCACTGGGTATATGAAAATCATGTCTAACACTATTTAAGCTTCGTTAATTAGAAGCTACAACTTTAAACGTGAATGCAATGAAAAGCTATTCTAAGTAAAATACCAAAATCTTTGCTGAAACTAATTCATTGTTTATAGTTTCATTCAATGTAACAGTGAAGTTTAACTGAGGTAGAGAGACTAAAGCCTTTAATGTCTACAGAGATAACAGTTCCTTCTGGTCTAGACTGAAATTATTACTCTAGTAATAATCAGAGCCTTGAATGCAGCTGCTATGCTTGTCGAGCCAGATTTCTATTAGAAAAGCAGCCCTGTTGCTTGGATATTTAGATAATATTATCTGCTGACAGAGACATATTCACTGGGGTGCGCATTTTGATTTATGCTCCCAGAAACTGTAGGACTTACAATGAAAAACCTGCCATACATTAGGAGATGTTTTAAATTTCATTGATAGGATTCAGATAATTTCTAGAAACTTTTCTATTACTCAGTTGTCTAAAACCTCTATTCTGCACTATCACTAAAGAATATGTCAAGAAGAAGTTAAAAATGGAGCAAATTTTTAGAAATATAGGCAATTGCCACTATGCAAACCAAGATTAAGTGCACCAAAGCCCACTGATTTCAGTTTGCTTAACACCATGATAGATTGTACCCAAGGAATTTTACATCTTTTATACCAAAAATATTGAAATGCATCTTCTAAATGAGGATGGAGCTGAAAAAATTACAGGACAATCAATTTAGTATTCCTCTTTTCAAGAGCTCAGTTCTGTCTGTACCGAGTAGAGGGAGTGAAAGGAAAATGACTTATCGTATCAGACCATTAATCCGTCCAGCTGGGTTTTGTGTGCACCAGCTGTCAGAGTCTGTCCAGTCTTTACCAGCCCTACCTGGGGATGGCGTGTTGTATAACAGAGCTACACTTTTGCTCAGTACACAGAATCCCTCCACCTTGGAAACTTTTTTATTATTATTATTCCTGTCAGTTTCTCAGCTGCTTCTCCAAGCAGAAACCTTGAGCAAACCATGGTGGTGATCAAGCAACACCCAGACCCTCATAGCTCTCTGATAAATGTTGCTGATGTTACAGAAACTGTTGTTCCTTCTGAAGGAGTAAATTACAGATTTTCTTGAAAAGTCAAGCAATGCAAGAGGAAGTGTGCATGAACTGCCATTTACTAAGAACTGGTTTGATTTTGCAGATTTTATTATTTATTTAAAGCTTTTCTGTACTGTCCCATTACAGATGTCTCAGGACGGTTTATAACTCCATTAATAAAATAGAATAAAAATGGAAATAAGAATAGGAGTGACACAACATCAGATATTAAATGTAAAACCACCCATTATAAAACAAATTAACAATTTAAATATTGGGAGAATAAAAAGGTTTTGACCTGACAATGAAAGGAAAGAAGCGTTGATGCCAGGCAAACCTCCAGTTTTTGGAGGCACCAAATTTTGCAGTCTAGAATCTTAGTATATCCAATACTGAAACAGACCACAATGTAATTGCACTAATATTTGGCTTGTATCCAGTGTTAGGCTTACTTTGAGTGGACTCACCAAAATGAATGGGACTTAAGTTAGATTAATGTTGGATAAAACCCCCTGCTTTGATGTTAGCAATCCTCAGGAAGTTTGTATAATCGAACTAAGAACTACATTGTATTTTATTTTTATTTATTTATATCCTGCCTTTTTTCTTCAAAGGACTCAAATTACATCATCTCTCCTCCTCCATCTTATCCCCACAACAACAACCCTGTGAGGTAGGCTGGGCTGAGAGTCTGTGACTGGCCCAAAGTCACCCAGTTGGCTCCATGGCCGAGCGGGGACTCGACCGCGGATTGCCTGAGTCCCAGTTCCATGTTCTTAACCACTACACCACACTGGCTCTCTATAATCCTGGGTATAGTTTCATTCCTGACATGAAAGGGTTTTTCAAGCCTCAGCATTTCAGTGCTCATTTAGCAGCTATTGTTACACACATTTTACTTAAACTTCAGGGCTGCAATTATCCTTCCCATGTGAGGGAGTATCGCATAGTTAAGTCTAAGACTGCAGATTTTGAATTTCTCCAGCTTTCTGCTGTTAACTGACATTTGCAATGGATGCATCATAGTAAGAGAATGTTTTTATAATTTATGACGAAGTTCTAATATGGACTGCAAAACAAATTAGATGGTAGATGGGAGTAGAAGAGGGAACAGGAACTGGCTAGTTGAAAACCAACGATGCAATTTCATTAATCATATTTTTATTTAAAACAGGCTAGGAAGGACATCTTGCACAGAATAAGATGCCACTTTCTATAAATGTGAACTGATGTGGGAGGCCTGAAAGGATGACAACAGAATAATGAGTATAACAATAAATTAGGAATGATAATAAATGCAGAATATAATTTTTTTCTGGATAACCAAATCACCAAGGTCATTTATGTAGGGTTCTGTTAGAATGACACAAGAAGGTTAAAAATATAAAATAAACCTCAAGAAGGTCAGAATTTGAAAAGATAAGCCTAGAGGCAGATGTTTTGACACCAGATGTCCTAAAAGGAGGTAAAGTTCAAGGTGACCATGTACAAAAAGTAACTGAATGCTTCCTGTTGATTATGTTTTTCCTTTTTCATGGATGCATCCTGCTTTTATCCAGTAATGCTTCCCGCTATGACACTATCTGTTACTAATCATTACCAAAGGCTAAATGTATAAATTATCTGTGCATGATGACTGTGCAGCTGGTCCCAACTGGAGACGGGCTCACTCTTTATTGCTATTGCGCACCTAAAATAAAGGGTCATTTTTTACATAAAGCAATTTGATGGTGTTCCCTGTCTCTTTCATGGGAGGACAATGAACAAGTGGAACTTTTTGTCCTCAAGAAATTAGGCAACCCTGATGGGATCTGCCTGACTCTCCAGCCGAGGCTTTAAATTGTGTTGTAAGCCACCCCGAGGCTTCGGCAAGGGGCGGCATAGAAATGTTATAATAATAATAATAATAATAATAATAATAATAATAATAATAATAATAATAAAAATTTATTTATGTAATAAGAACAACAAAATTCCTTCATAGATATGTGTGTGTTTAATAAGCATAGTAGGAAATAGTTTTGAGCAGTTTCACGAAGTTAGGAATGCCAAATTAATATGCTGATATAAATCATGGGCTGATGTCCCCAAGAGAAAAATAAATACGAAATAGTGACAAGAACAATCAGTTTTATGTGAACTAGGCTGAATTAAGTATCACATCAGGAAAATAAGCTTTAAAAAAGCCAGAGCCTAGCATGCATTGTTCAAAATAAATAATTTAGTAGTAGTAACAAATTGAAAGGAAGAATATACAGTTAAAGGCAGCCTGGGCTGTGAAAATGGAACGAAATATGCGGATTTGATCATACATAATGAAGTAGCATCTGCAAAAATCCAGATACGAAATCTTATTCAGACATTTCTGAACTACTCTTGAAAAGATATGAAA